TAGGATAGTCTGCGCGATGGAATGACATTTCACAGAAAACTTTTTGTATGTATTTTTCTTCTATAACACCAAATGACGGGACGAACATGTCGTGTGGCTGGTGGTAAGCGACACGTCTATCCATAACAATTGCAGTGCGCCCGCCACTCAGTACTTTAAATTGGAAAGATCTGAGGGGCACTGCCAGAGCGCCCGTCACCCTGAGTCGTAAGTTGACAAGTCCCATGTGACTGTAATCACCAGCACCCATACCCTTCTAAACCGGAACGCAGTAGTGTCCACATTATTGTTTGGCAGCAAAAATACGTAAGGTGGCAGTACTTCACTGGATGAGCCCTTTTACAAGGAGCTCTACTGCTACTAAATGTGTATCACTTTAGTAAAAACTGACGAAATGAAAATCTGACTTTGAAGCAAAAAAGTGTTTTCACGCCTAAACCGCTGAATCAAAAATCATGACTTTAATAGTTATAGAGATAGATGGGACCCTGAAGAAGGATATAAACTACTTTTTGTCACAATATAAAATCTAAAAGGGGACGAAATAGGGGATGAAAGCTTGTATGGAGAACCAATCATTTCTTAAGTAAGGCCGTGCGAGTTTTTCTGAATACCCGCACTTGATCTTCATTATTTATTAGTGAGAACCTTAGTACACAAATAAATAGTATTTATGTGGTCTGTGTAAATAATGAAGATCAAGTGCGGGTGTTAAGAAAAACTCGCACGGCTAGAAGATGCTGACATCCGCCTCTTCAGTCCCTTCGAGGCCATAGACGTTGCAATACGTCCGAAACGTCGAGGTAATTGAAATATGTTTTATACGTGATTAAGTCCCGAATTAAAAATCAAATAATTTTAGTCTTAATTCAACAAGTATTTTAATTCAATGAAACCCTTCTCCGAAGATAATTACAGTAGTTAAAAGTCAAACCTCCATTCTTTTGAACCTTTCATTCGAATATGACTAGCTCGAGACCATTATTGTAAATATTTAAAGTGATACATAAATTGCCACTTACCAATAGTGGTCAACGTTATAAAGCAGTAATAAACGCTGTCGAAGTAACTCCAACCCTCGAACTTGGAGAAGGCAGCTGCTCCCCCTGCGATGGTCAGAGATGACAGTGTGGTCACCACACAGATGAGGTCCACTTCAGATGCATTCGTTTGCTTGCAGTTCATCGCACGCTTTATTGATTTTATTATTACGCTGGAATTTATAAACGTGTACGATTAGTATTGTCTCGAGTTCTTAGGTTTTCGCGATTGTTACACATAGGAAATGAAACTATTTTTCCGTTGACGCAACGGTTGAGTCAACCGTGACCATGGGACCTGTAAAGGGCCCGAAACGTCGGTTTGTTTGAAAAAACAAATATACGCGATTTAAATCCGGAAAAATAGTTTCATTTCCGATTAGTATTGTCGTTTAAAAAATAAATTTTAAACAGTTATGTTATACAGAATCTTTGCCGCTATGGTGGTGGTAGCCTAGTGAGTACAGCGGTTGCATTAGTGTTCAAACAACCTTTGAACATTCCACTCAGTAGGTGAATGACCCAAAAATAGACTGCAAGAAAATGCTTCAGCAAGACGAACGACCGAAAACCAAGTTGCAAGATAATGCTTCACCGGCACTTTACACTAACGAGACACTAAAATTTTAGAGACATTTTATATAATAGTGTGTGTAAATTTGTATATATATAGCAATTAATTTATTATTATAATGAGTCTTAACAGCAACCGAGTCTAATTTATCACCCTTAGCTGTCATTAGAGCATACACACCCACGCCCACAAATCACAGATTACCTCCTCCTTTTGTAAAGTTTTAAGTCGATTACTATTAAAGTTATACATATAGTTTTATAGGGTACCTAACCTATCACAAACTTGAATTTTTTTCCGAAATAACGTTTGTTCGAATTTTCATTAAACCGAAAACCTAATATAACGAAACTATTGTTCTTTCAGGATAATATATTAGGGGTTAAAGTATGAAATTGCCGTTTTATTGCAATAGGTTCTTTGAATTTTCATAGAATCTTCATGGTTTGAGGTTTTCGAATGAAACTTTTTTCAAATGGTTTCTTTGATTTTTTTTTTAAATTTGAAACATTTGAATATCGACTTTCAATTGTTTTTGTTATTCAATTTAGACAAGAAAGATGGATACTGCGAAAATTCGAGTGATTTTTGAATACGAGTTCCGACGCGGAACTAACGCGGCAGAAACTGCCCGCAATATCAATGCTGCGTTTGGAGAGGGGTCTACTAATGAACGCACCGTGCGATTTTGGTTTGAACGCTTTCGTGATGGAAATTTCGACTTAAAGAACGAGTCACGAGGAAGACCGCCCACACAGGTGAATAACGATGAATTAAGAGAGATAGTGGAAGCCGATCCTAGTCAAACTACCCAGGAATTAGCGGCATGGTTTAACGTTACCTTACCCACAATATTGACTCACTTGCGTCAAATCAATAAAATAAAAAAATACGAAAAATGGGTGCCTCATGATTTGACTGATCTGCAGAAAGAAACGCGTGTTGAAACTTGTGTTGCCTTGTTGAACCGGTACAGAAATGAAGGAATATTGGATCGAATTGTAACATGTGATGAAAAGTGGATTCTTTATGATAACCGGAAAAGAAAAATGCAATGGCTGACCCCAGGTCAAATGCCACAACAGTGTCCTAAAGCAAAACTTACCAATAAAAAGGTAATGGTAACTGTTTGGTGGTCTCAGCATGGTGTTATTCACTATAGTTTTCTCCGATCTGGTCAAGCAATAACGGCAGATGTCTATTGTGCCGAACTCCGAACCATGTTGACAAAACTAGCAGTAAAACAGCCCCGACTCATGAATCGATCTTCACCATTATTGCTCCACGACAACGCGAGACCTCACACAGCACGAGAAACCATTTTGACCCTTCAGGAACTGCAGTTAGAAACCATTCGTCATCCTCCGTATTCACCAGACCTTGCTCCAACGGACTACCATTTTTTTCGTGATTTATTATATTTATCTACGTGACAAGAAGTTTTCTTCCCAGGAGGCAGTACAAAATGCTTTCACACAGTTTGTGCAGTCTAGATCGTCGGAGTTCTATCGCAAAGGCATTAATAACCTTCCCATTAGATGGCAGCAATGTATAGATAACAATGGCATCTATTTTGATTAAATAAATTTGTTAAAAATTTAAAAAATAAACAATTTAGATTTTCAGTACAAATCGGCAATTTCATACTTTAACCCCTATTATGTTGGATGTTTATCGCAAAGACACGATTAGGTTCGGTTAGGTTAGATTTAAAGAAACAACATTTTCCTCTCAAAATTACTTTCGAGGTTATGAAAATTCGAGCAAACGCTATTTCTGGAAAATGTCATTTCGGACTTCGACCGTTTTTTATGTTACACGATAACCTTTTGTGAATTAATTTTGATGATTCTTTTTTTGTAGAAAAGAGGGTATCTCAGTATTGGTCCCATTTTTATTTGAAGGAAATATACCACCTCTAGGGGTGGCAAACTAGGGGATGAATCCAGTTTCGCGCACTTTCCGGTAAACGATTTCAATAAAATTTGGCAAATAGATGTAACTCCACAAATTTTTGAGGTCGGTTTTTTTTAATAAAAATGTTACAATTATACATATAGGGAGTGTTTTATAATAGTGTACCTTTTCTTTATATAACATTATTTCTTACAGCCTTTTCTTTTCCTCTTTTAACATTTCTTACAATAAATTTGTGGATCGAGCCTTCATTAAGGCTACAAAGGGTTTTTGATAAATCTCCGAAGGCTTCGTATATGAACATAGCTAAGAATTGGCGCTGAATTGTTATACTAAAGCAATGTCACTGTTGTTACTGTACCTGCTAAGTCTGTTGACGCGTTCGCCGATGCTCTGGAACATGATGAGGCCGAGCGGGATGCCCACGATGGCGTAAAACATTGTGAACAGCTTGCCGCCGATCGTAGCTGGCGTCGAGTGCCCATACCCTGTAATGTTAATATCATGAATAATAAGTTTCTTTCTTCAACTATCGGGTCTCTTCGGTCGAGCAATCGACAACACCTAAGGATGCCTCGTAGAAAAGCGAAACACGTGTCAGGTATATTTTTGGTGGTTCTATTTGTGACTGTAGTTGCGCTATTGTTGCTTAGTTTATTAAATTTTATGCGAAGCGATGGTAGGAAAATTAAGTGCATGGAAAAACTTTCACTGGGTTCGTGGAGTAGCAAATTAATTTACTTCCATTTTTATTAAGATGGATTTCCGCAAAGTAATGGCTAAATCAATTTTTTTTATCATACTAAGTGACAGGACGAACAAGTCGTGCGCCTGATACTAAGTGACAGGACGAACAAGTCGTGCGCCTGGTGGTAAGCGACACAGTGATACTAAGGCTCAAAATCTGTATAAATTTATTTAATGTAAGGATTTACAAGAAAACTAGCATTTCAAATTGAAGTATTTGAAGAGTTATGCTTGTCACCAACAGTGGAAACCGTAGTGGTGGTAGACTAGTGAGAGAATGTTTCTCATCTCAAGTGAGAGGTTCACGGTTCGAATCCCGCACTCGTAACACTTCAGAACCAGAATGCAGTAATGCTAACATTACTGTTTGGCAGCTGAAATGGGTAAGGTGGCAGTACTTCCCTAGACAAACACTTTCACAAGGAGCTCTACTGTTACTAAAATGTGTGACAAACTTATGACTATGACTAAGTTTCGTGAGTTTAAGAGAATTTGTCTTTTGCTTTGTGGTTCCAATTTGAGCTCCATATGCAGCAGACTGTTAAGGGTAAACTTTGCACTAAATAGTATTGTAGAAGTACATACCAATGGTGGTAAGGACGGTGGTGGCATAATAGAAGGCACCAGTGAACTTCCACTGTTGACCAGCCTTGTGCGGTTCCGATTTGAGCACCACTGTCTCCATCACGCGGAAGTCTTCTTCTGTTATATTGTACTTTCTTATTATCATCCCCTCGATAGCTGCAACATTGGATTACAGATGTTATTGACAGTGTCTTCCTTTTTTGGTAGGTCAATGTATCTGTAAATATTGTTTAGCCGACTTCAAAAAAAGGAGGTTCTCAATTCGACTGTATGTTGTTTTTTGATGACTCCTGTATTTGTGAACCGATTTTGATGATTCTTTTTTTGTTGGAAACAGGGTCCTCGGTAGTGGCCCCATTTAAATTTGAAGACAATATTTCACCTCTAAGTGTGATGAGCTACAAGATGAATGACTTTTAAGGTATGTTTTTTTTGTACTTTGTGCTGAGATTATTTGAAGTTCTACTGTAGAAGCAAGGGCCTGATGATCTGTCATATAAGGAATTCTAGTAGGAACAGCAGACCCTGACAAAGGTTCCCAAATGTTTTTAAATTTCATCATCAATTTAAAACACAGATTTAATACCTAGGTTGGATGCTCATTTATAATTGTAAAAATGTTATACATTTTTAAATATTATTTGTAACATTTTGTATAACCTGCATATCAACTGTGAACTGGCAACTGGTACTATCGAAATTTTGACAACTTTACATTGACTTTACAGGTGAAGAAAAAAATTGTTTGCGTCATTTATATACCATCTGGTCTGGTGTTAAATAAAAATACGTAGTGTATGTGTAATAAAAATATTTAAAAACTACCTACCTGCCTAGGTACCTTTTTGAAGTATCAAAACTTTTTGCTTTGATTTTATGAATGAATGAAACTAAAATCTTTTAAATTTGTGTATGCTATAGTATCCATGGCGAGCGCCGGCAAGAGTGCAAAAATTTAAAAAAGTCATTACCGCCCTAGGGCCGTATGATAACAATACCGCTTAGTTTTGCTGCACGTTATACTATTCTATACTTACAAGCAAGATGTGATGAAAACATATTTACGTTACTAGGTATTTTTTGTCCATGTGTTTTAATTTGTTAGATTTCTTTCAATAGCTATTTAAATGAGCTTTTAGAAGCTGCATGTAAATTTAAGTAATGTCAAAGAATTCTAACTGGGAAAAGTAGTGATACTGTGGAAGTAGTATATACATCAAAAGCTTTAGATTTAAGAAGCTTATGTTCAAAAATGTCAATGGAGGAAGCATATTTTTGATAATTACTGAAAATCAGGATTCTTTAATTTTTTTTTAACACCAATTATTTTTTGTGTCAATTTCGTAATTAATAAAATAAATACTAAATAAACAATTTAATATATTTATGTTGATTTTTTGGTACTTTAATAATGTAATGACATATTAAAAAAAATATCATGAGCCCTAGACAATTTTGATGTGTGTATATATCTGTCTACACTGCTACATAAAACCAAACTCAAACTGAATAATCATAATCAACCATATGTAGATGACCCAAAAATGTATGGAACTGAAATGTTTCAGAAAACAGTTGAAATTGCACTTCAAAGACAGTCTCCTAAGGTTGATTTTTCTCAAATGTTCAGATTTTTTTGAATAGTTTGAATGTTCAAATCATTCACCGTCCATACCTTTAATAGAATAGTCATTATAATGTGTTGTGATTCACATTATAATCACCATTTTTACTTATATAGAGTCTGAGAATGTACCTTGCAGAACTTCAAATCTGTTCCTCTCCGTAGTAGACTCAAGAGCGTCAAAGACAGCCGCACCAACTAGCAGATATGTAAATGTGCACACAATTAAGGATAGAGTGCGTACATTTTGCTTCTTCATCACGCACAAGTGCGACTCTGGCTTTAGGGCTATGGCCCAATGCACACTCCACCTTAATCAGCTCACTTAAGGACCATATTGTCTTGCCTCTAAAGACTAAGTAACCATTGTAAGGTACTTCTATAAATTTTTATCAGAACTCATTTTTATGATATGCGAACTATTTCAAATTTAGAATGTGTTCTCTATGGTTCAGTTCTGCATGCATAATCACAACCAGTGTGTCTTATTCGCCAGTTTCTCATTTTTTTTATTTTAGGGATGTCTAAACTTTAAGTGTTAAAGTGCTAGCAATAAATTGATCCCATTGTAGGAAGTCATTTTCTATTTTTGAAAGATTTCCATTTATGGATGTTTAGTGTTGTGTTGTTATTTTTGTTCATTATTTATTCCAGTTTCACCTGAAAAATTAAAATTTTTAATTTTAAAAGATTACAGTAAATCATTTGAAGCAACGGTGGAGCAAGATAATAAACCGCCTAATTGGGTAATTCTAGTTCAGTTGTATTGTAGGTGTATAATATGTCAATATACACTTATTATGTATATTCAATTACAAGGGAACAAAAAGGTTAAATGTTATTAATAATTTGTAAATAAATAAAAAAAAAGTGTAATATTTTTTTTTTATTTACAAGTGTACATTTTTTTATTTAGGTACTTTGTTTCAAAGAGTCAGAAGAAAGTTAAGTTGTCTTGCCATAGAAGAGAAAAAATTATTGGCATCTATGGCAGAGAATGGTAAAAGAATCAATGTTGGTCTAAAAAATAGTTTAAAGATTTAGGTATTTAGTAAGAAACGAAAGTTTATAGTTTTATTTTAATTTAGTAATTTTAAAGAGATGTCAAATACACTGTCTCATTAGATTAATTTTAGAAATGAATTCATCATTTTAATTTAATTGGAGAAAACAGGATTCCATATATCATTTATTTGTTTAACAAAAATTAAAAATTCGCTCGAAATGTTTTTTTTTGCAAATGCCACAGAAAAATAAATTTATTTCAAACAAAGAACTTACCTAGTGCCAACTGATAAGGGTTACGTAGACATTCGGGCGCAATATGTTACGCGATTTTATCACAAACGGCATCTATAAATATTTAAATATCTGCAAAGCTGTATCCTAAAAATAACATCGTGCTATAGTCCGCATTCATATCCATAGGTCAACGCACACACCATATCTGGGTCAAACCATATGACAACAATTTTCCAACATTTCTCCCAAAAAGGACACAGGAAATGAAAAGAAAAGCCTTGTTTAAGTTACAATAACTCCTACTATGAGCTCTAATTGCCGAATTCAGAGAAGAATAACTAATTTTCGGCTAAGATACTTCTATGCGGTAAACTGCTGTCTTGTTCTGTCAAACTCACTTGCACTTTTTCCGATCATAACTGAGAACTTTTATTAACACGAGGTCATTTTGAACGAGAAAATAAATAAATAATTACATAATGGCATTAGGGGTTGATAAAAATAACAAAAAATATTATTTTTGGCACGACAGCCTCTTGCACTTTGTTACTTGACCTAAGCGTGTTGCCATACTGTAAAAATAAATTGAGATTTGCAAGGGGTTGATATTGCAAATTTTTGGGGTTGAAGTGGGATGAAACAGAACAATTCCTTTTTCTGATATGACTGTGCAGTAATAAACTTTGAATGAGTAACTATGAATTGAATGATTTAAGAAAAATTTTAACAAAGTTGGAAATGTTTAATTCCTGGGGTAGCCCAGAGACCCTCCCGACACCAATGCTCACAAAACAATATAATAGAATTCGTTCCCCCAGATGCAATGCCTAAACATTGACTAATTTTGCATATAGGTTAATGCGGCAGTGTTAATAGGCTCTAAAACATTGTTCCCGAAGAGAATGCCACCCCCGCAGCATCCCTTTACAGCATCCTGCTAGTATTTATCGTAAGAACTAGATGGCGCTGTAATTGCTATCGTGGACTCCTGATTGTTTCATGCGTCACGAATGCAGATTTTTTGGATGTTTGCTCTTTAATAAATGTCAGGCGTCCAACGATCCTATTTGCTAAATCTACTCGTCCTACGTAATGTAAAGTAAGCCACAAAAAATAATGAGTATGTATAAAATTTAATTGCAATGCCTCAAGGATCGCAGATATTGTGCTAATTTTATTCCTTTCAATACATTGAAACATTTCCCTATGAAGCTGTGGATTCGGGCTTATGTCTAGGAGGGATCTAAATAGAGTTTCAATTTTTGTATGTTTGATTTATAACTTTTGAATATTGATTTATAACTATAAGCAGTTATTGTATACAGAATAAGTAGGTTACTCTCGAGTTAGTGTTCTCTGCCTTGCAATTTCTTGCCACGGCAATTTTTATTATTTAAGTATTCGAGTACAGTATCGTGAAATGTTATTTAATATGTTAACCCTATTATAACCGAAGTAACTTACGTATTTCATATTGTTGTAAATTGATGTGGAGTTATAAATGATAATTCTAAACTAAATACAGAAAATATTTACGACTGAGCATTACATAACAAATGTAATAATTGATTCCCTGCAGGACTTTTTTTTAATGACATCAAGGGTTTTAAATCACATGAGGGATCATCGAGTGTATAACCAGAAATAGAGACGAAATTTCATTTAATTTGTTTGAAAACTATTCTGCCGTATCATTACTGTGACAACTGCGCTCCAATTGGCTAGCTCGAAACAATTGACGGGTGTCGTCAATTGTTTCACTTCAAATCGACTAGTTAACTTGATCTTTGCTACAATAGACGAAAGTAAAACTAAAGTAAAAAGTAAAGAGACATAAGTTGACAAGTCTTATGTGCTTGTAATTTCACCAGACTTTTACTCCAGCCGAAAGCTTTCCCCCAGGCACGTGCTGCAGTGGTCAATATGGAAATCCTTGAATCGTCCCAGGTATATCTCACTTGCTCTCATGTCTACCGTGTACGACCAGCTGCACCCGCTAAGACCTGCTAAAGGCAACAGATAGGAGCATAGAGATGGTTGTTTATTGGGCCAAAGAAATATAACACTGGTTTTTATCGGTATTTGTCATTGACTAAACAAGAGCTGTCTGCCGGCAAACAGTAATGTGAGCATTACTGCGTTTCAGTTTTGAAGAGTTAAGGATGTTGGGGACATTACAGCCACATGAGACTTGTTACTTACGTCTCAAGGTCACGGGCGCAGTGATAGTGCCTCTCAGATCTTTGCGATTTAAATCTCTGAGTGGCACAAAAAATCAACAGTTTTTGTGGTAAATAATCGTTATTTAAAAATAAAATAAATAAAATTGGGTAAAAAAAAAACTGTAAAGTACATAACAAATATAAAAAGTCGCGTATGAAATGCGAGTGGAGAACAGAAGAGATAATATGTCAGGAGCGTAGTGGGTGAATGTTCATAGTTTCTGCCTACTCCAATGAGAAACAGGGGTGATGTATAAGCGGTTATTGTCAAATATTGGCTGGAAATACAATGTAAAAAAGTATTTGCCGAATGTTACATGCGGTGTCAGTCACAGACCACATGTGGTGTCAGTGATGGCGGTGATTGTCATCAATTTTCATATTTTACTTAATAGAAATATGTTCTAGAAAATTCTGCAATAATTCGAGCGTCAAATTTGAATTACAAAAATCAAAGCCAAGTAACGTTCTCTAGATTTCGTAGTAACTAGGTACTTACTAATGGCAGCAAAGGGCCTCGTATTGCGCTGGCACACGATACGTGCGCGTGCAATACAACCAGGCCGTGAAGCGAAAGCTGTAGGGCCCACTTTCTCAAATGCGAGGTTGTTGCAACTGCGACAAGTATCGTTATAGTGTGTTTGTGGATCCAAATGTTTTGAACATTTGTTTCGTGTTAAGCAATTTTCATGAAATAGCCTGTTCTGCTTAAGATATGAATTTTTATATCAGAATGGCTGTAGTAGCCACCATTATAGGGTCTTGAATTAAGTTGTCAAGTTTCTGTATCATTTTTACAACAAACGTGGTGGCGATCTTATTTAATTGCGCAATTAAGGGCGGTCTTACACGGGCAGCTTGAAGTAGCTAGTATCGACTGCTTCAGGCTGCGACAACATAGCAAACTACAGTCTTCTATATACACACATACACCAAACCGCTCGAGCAGTTGCGAGTACTTCGGGCGGTTTGCAGCGCGGTGAAATTTCATCGTGCAGTCAAGCAATCGCCAAGCATACACTGACTGCTCGAGCAGGCCGTCTATGGCCACCCTAATGTCGAAAGGACACAGCTTACAAAAACAACGTAAATATAGACAGGTATAAACTTAGTTTATATAGGTATAAACTTGAAAATAATGATTAAATATGTAAATAAAAACAATAAATATAAGAGAACAAAGGCCTCGGGCAGTATCAAAGTAAAAACGGAAAAAGAAATTTAATTAATGTTTTAGGATTTGTTTTGCGAAATGTATAGGGAAGCGACTATCAAAATACGTCATTTGTGTAATAAGGCTGCATCTGCAAAATCACAACTTTTCAGAAGAGAGGGTTAAAGATTCTGCGAAGAAAATGGTCGGTAACTTTTTCGTCTATTCCACTAATTTCAACGACAAGTTCAATCAGTTGAACTAATCGGACACAAATATTCCAATTAACTGCCTCCATGGCCGAACTGTTATCATGCCGGACTGACACGCAGAGGTCCCAGGTTCGATTCCTGGGCCGGGAGAATATTTGTATGGCCTACATTTATTTCTCTCGTGAGTTTGGGTGTAATTTGTGGTTGTCTATTTGTGTGTCCATGGCACCCGCGACACAGGGTTTCCCTAGTGGGGGGTTGAGTGTGTGCGTTAAAAAAAAAATTAAACTAGATACCATTTTTTTAAAAGTTGAACTTATTGGACGAAACTCTTCCTGTTTGTTCAACTTTCCATTTATTTAAATAATAGTTCAACGTAAAACTATAATATGTGAAGTTGAACATGTTGTTCTTGTTGTTGATATTAAAC